TTGGTTGTCTCGCGACGCATATTTGCACACAGATCAGTAGGAACACGCATAAACAAAGTTTGAAATACATTTTGAGATATCTCGTTTTTGTGTCGACAAGCGAACGATACCGAAGCGAATTCGCGTTTGAGATTTCTTTATTGGAGTCTTTATATATGAGTCTTTGAAAGAATACTGGAGCGTAATATTTTACATGATAATGCGGGTTTTTTCTTCACGATATCAATAGTTGGAAAGTCCAAATTATAATAATTTTATTTTTAATATGTAAAAGAATAAAAATACATATTTTTCTGATGGTAATAGTTTTATATGGGGGAAATCTCATGTTCACGCTATTAAACTTAGGGACTAGATAATTTGGAAAAATACTGTCACTCGGGAAAGGGACAAAAACTGCAAGCCGACAACATTAAGGAAGCCCGGTTGCCATGGTAACGGTAATTGTTTTCCAATGTCAAAGGTCTTCGTTGTCATTTGTGCAATTGCATTTCAAACATAAACAACTGCAATAAAAAAGGACTTAAGAAAAAAGTCGGAAACTACTGGGCTGATTACTTTTACAATTAGAAAGCTACGTTACTAGTGAGTAACATAGGTTATATTTTATTTTTTAATTTCAAGCGGGCGATGTCGCGAGCCACAGCTAGTTTTTTCTAAAGTGGGTGGGTGCTGATTATATTGTTTTCAAAACCTAGTCAATAATTTAAGAGTTCTGTTATGAGGACGCTTTTATCATCTTTTTTATTACATTTGTTTTTATGTGTGTAAAAATTTATTACTCGTTACAATATTATCAGTCAGTATTGCAATGACTTCTGACCTAGCCGACCTAATTATAAGAAAAGGATTTTTCCTCACAAAATGACATTAATGCATGAAACAATAGAATTAACAGATATTTAATAGATTTAGGGCCTGTCCCACCAAATTGTTAATCGTCTGTTGACGATCCAAAGTAAAATATATGATGGAAATATCGACTTTTGTTCCCTTATCTGACAGTGACGTCATTTTTAAGCTATCTGAGCCTCTATCAGCCAGTGGGGCTGGCTCTTAACTAATCAAATTAAAACGTTATTTACATATTTCTTTTATTCTGTATGAAAGTATATATGTGTGGAGAGTGTGTCCCTGCATCTGCCCCTTTATGTACATGTATATTAGGGAGTATACATCTGTGAGTGCTTATGATTGTGTGTGTATGAGCGTGTATGTATTTTGTGTTACCTTGAAAAAGCTTTTAACGAGGTCCATATCTTCTAGCCATTTACAATTTTTTCCATACTATATTTTTTAATTTTTTTATAAAGATTCTCAGATAATTGACTTTTCCCGATTGAAAGTTGGGTTTCTGTTGCCACTTGTGATGATTATTGGTGGAATTGGTTTGATTATTTGGTGACGTTTTACAATTTCATAGATGTCCATTTATTTGCAGAGAGAAGTTTGCTGTGGTATAATGGTTGTTTGTGTTTTCCAGCTGGATGGCGGAGATGGCGAGGACGGTGAGCAGAGCGAGGTGTGGGTGTTGTCGGCGCTCCTGCCTGCCACCGCCGTGCTGCGCCGCACGCAGCTCCTCTCCAACAATGATACTGAAGTAAGTTTACTTGTTGATAATTTATTAAAGACGCTCTTTAAACTTTACTAGTAGACAGAGTAACTGGCGTGAATTATAGGAGTAATTTTGTCTGATGAGTACGGGTGCCGGAGGCCTGCCTAATTTCAGTCCCTATCCACCCTTTTTTATAAGGATTTGATGGTGAAGACGTATATGTAGATGAAATATCATGTCTATGTGCGTTTCCTTCTCTGTTAATTAAGGGTAGGCAACGCATCAGGTGGGATCGTGGTCAAGCATTAGTTTTACTACTGTAAAAAAATGTAGCTTCGCCATTTAAGCGGATTCAGATGGTCCCTTACTCGTTTGCCACCTTGTAATATA